CTAATGTCTTGCCCGCCATCGTAGTGGAGTTTGGGGAGAGCGGAGACAAGCATCTCTTCTCTAGATTCAGCAACACATTGTCGAGTGCTCGCTGCGACAGGCCCTCTCCCTGTGGGCGGAATGTCAGGTGCCTGGGAGGACCGTCCGCCGACGCCAGCAGCGCACACAAGTGAGTGACAGCAGGCTGGAAGGTGGAACAGAAACCTGGGGCTGGGAGGAAGGGGAAAGGGGTCTGCAGGGACAGGGGGTGGGTTGCCATGGTAAACACTAATGACGTGACATTTCGATAAAGACATGAAGAAACTGTGGGCGCAGCCGTGCAGAGCTCAGGAGGGGCGTGTGCGGAGGCAGGGGTGAGGAGAGGTACAGATGGGGGGCAGTGGAGGTCCTGGTCATATGGGGTCCTGCCGGTCTCTATAAGGTCTTGGGATTATCTTGGGGTGTCATGGGGAGCTGCTGAAGCTCTGAGCCAAGGGTTGACATGGGGGCTCCCCTCTGGCTGCTGCAGGGAGACTGTGAGGAGCTTGTTGCTATACCCCAGGTGTGGATGGTGGCTTGGATGAGGACAGGGTGGTGGAAGCAGCGCTGCTACAAGCGTGGGCTTCTGGGCTCATTCTGAAGGCAGGACATGGGGCTTATTTGGTGGATTTAGATGTGAGGGATGAGAAAAAGGGTGACAGGAAATAAGTCCCAGGTAACTGGTCTGAACAACTGCAAGGGCGGAGTTGCCTCTAATGGAGACAGGAGCGGGGCCCGCGGAGGGGTGTGTTCAGGGGAGACTCTGCTTGAGAGGCCTTTGAGGTCTCCCAGAGGAGAGGTTCAGTGGCGGGTCCAGCTGGAGAGAGACTGTGGGAGCACGTGCTGTAAAAATGGTACTTAATGTGGACGTGCCAGTGTAGGGTCATTGGCTAAAACACAGGGGTGCTCTGGTGGGGAAGGTGGATGGTGGGGGAAGCTGTGTGGGCTCGGGGGCAGGGGTCCCTGGGAAAGCTACACTTTCTGAAACTCTAGAACGGTCTTCTCAATGATATTAAAAGGCACCAGACTTGATGAGATGGTCAAGGGAGTAAGTGTGCAAGAGACGCAGATGAGTGTGCGAGGCTCCAGGAGAGGCAGGGGAGGTGGTGGTGGGAGCAGCAGCAGGAGGACCAGGAGAGTGTGGCATCGGAGGTAGAAGCGAGAAGGTGCTCCAGGAGGGCCTGGAGGTGTCCCCTGGCCTGACAATGGGCCCAGGAAGAGGGAGGCTCAAGTGAGGTTTCCTGGGTGGAAGAGCAGTTTGCTGGGGGGCAGAGAGAGGTGGGGCCGGAGCACAGCCGTTAGGGGAGTAGGCGCAGGAACTGAGGGGGATTCCAGCCAATTCATCTGAGGCACATTGCTGAGAAGTACTGAGGTGAAATAGAGCGAAGGAGTTCTGTTTTGTTGAGTCTGGAGAAATGCAAATTGGGCTGCTTGCTGGAGGGATCTGCCCCTTGAGCAGGAATCCCCATTAGAATCGTAAACAGACATCAAAGTCTTCCCTTTTGGATGCGCCTTAGGGGTGAGGTATGGCACAGGACAGCACAGCACGCTGCCCCCGGAAGGCCACCTGGCTCAGGAATCCGGCACCACGTCCCAGGTAGAGGGATGTGGGCCTCAGTTCCGTGATCTGCAGCCTCCTACGCTGGTCCCCAAGGATGCCTCCAGCTGTGCTATGCCACGAGCTGTGACTTGAAATGCAAGGGAGATCAAAGATGGGAAAAGTCGGCAGTGTCTGCCTGCTCCTTCCCTGGGAAAATAAGAGTTTAAATAACACAAAATGAATCTTGTACAAATGTGGGCTCAAATATTTGTAGGTTAAACCCAGTAGCAACTTTGACTAGTTGCCAGCTACTGACTCCTGACTTTCCATGCTCCCCACTGCCATTTAACAGTATGCAGGCTGCAGAGATCTTGCAAAACAGGAAGCATAATAATGAAAACTTAAATCACCCATAGTCCCATCTTCTAGAGAGACATACTGGTAACAGTTTGGGTACTAGTTTTCTACAATTTTTTCTATTCAGCAACTGTATCCCCTCTCCAGTGTGAGTTTTTTCTATATTTGTGTCCTGGTTTTTTTTTTTTTTTTCATCCTAAGTATATTCCTAAGGCATCATCCTAAATATTCCTCACTCCTGACAACTGTTAAATATTCCACCACAGGAATCAGTCATTCCATTAATGGGCACTTATAACTTCTATGAATAGCACTACAAAAAGTGTTCTTCTGTTCAACTTTGCATATAAATCTTTGCATCTCTTTTTGCTTTCTTTGGCATAAATTACCAGTCGTAAAATTATACAGTGGCCCATGGGGTGTCAGTATTTTGAAAACTCTTACACATGTTGCCAAATAAGCATCTTGACACATCTGCCCCTCTTGCCTTCCAGAGAGGTGGTAACAACTGCTTTCCCCTCCCCATGGTAGATCAGCTGCATGAAGCTGTTACTCATCCTGCCAACTTCCCATATATTTTTAAAAAAATACTGCTTTTCACTGCTTACAGGCTAAAGTTTATTATCTATGAAAGCAGCTCTGTAGGGGGAGCAAGAGGGGTTCAGACTGCTATAAACTAGTCCCTCTACCTGCTGGGCTCCTGCCACAAACTCCCACCTCTTTGTCTCCTCCAGTCCCACTGGGCTGAGGCTGCCAAGGACAGACACGCAGCTGGGGCCAGCTCTACCGCCAGGACCGATGCCCAGGCCTCTGGACTCCAAGTCAGGTCCTTAGCTACTGACTTCTTTTACTCACCCTCACCTGCCTCAGATGGCCTGAAATAGTCCCTATAAGAAACTCTAAAATATATTTTAAGAGACTATAATGCATACGCAGCTCACCAATGCCTTCAAGGGTCTGAGTAAAATAAAAAACTCTGAACCATAAAGTCAACAATCACAGAACTCCTGCTCCGCCAGAAGATGCCCTGGGCTGTCCCTCCCTGCTTGGTCCCAGTGAAAGTTGTTCCAGCCAAGTGAGACCAGCAGGCACAGCAGCCACAGCCGCCACGCTGGGTGTGTGTTTGCTTTTGGCAAGTTTTAGGAACTGTAAGGCTCTGTACTTTTATATTTGGTCTCCGACACAGTGCAAGTTTTAGACACTCAAAACAGGCATAACAATGTGGGCATGGTCTTAGAATGTCCTAAAAGAAAAAAAATAATAAACTGTGTGCCTGACATCATAGCCATGGGCCCTTATGTTTGCACTTACTATCTGCTAGGCTAACAGGACAGTGCAAGGGATTCGAAGCTGCTGGCTTTTTCCCTTTATTGCAAAGAGGCCTGGCCACCTCAGCTGGGGGCGGGGAGTCATCAGCTCGACCCAGGTCACCGCCAAGGTTTTCTGGGCTCCGGGCGGGGCGGCCCTGCATCTGGAGTAACACACCACTTCGCTGGCCTGGCTTCTCTTCGCGCGGGGCGCCTGGTTTCCTGCCTCGGGAAGGCTTGCGGCTGGGTCTGGAGTTTCTCCGAGGTGCGCTGTGCGCATTCCCTAGTTCTGAGAAAGCGACCTCATTCGAGCGAGGGCTCTGCCAGGGTTTTAAAGTCTTTACAAAGGGGCAGGTCGCTGCCTGCCCCGGAGGTAGCGCAGCTCCATCCCTGGGGAGAGGGAGCCGCGCGCCCCGGGAGGCCCGGCCCGCCAGAGGGGTGCTTTTTAGACTCGCGCTTCTAGGCTGGCTTCGCCCACTGTTCCTGGTCCCCATGGTCCCCTCGAGCTGCAACTGAAATCCCAGAAAAACCTCTCCCGCCAGCAGAGGGGAGAGTGCTCAGAAACACTCTGAGAGGGGAAGGACACGATGGGGCGCCCACGGGAGACGGGACGGGGTGGACTTGGCACCGAGGGGCGGGCAGAAGGAGGGGGAATGAGCGGACCGGGGAGCTCAGAATAGAAGATATAAAAAAAGTGCTGACTAGTGAAAATACTGCAAAGGATGGGGGGGGCTGGCAACTGGGGAACAGTTGAGAAAAATAGCAATTAGTACGCTAAAAATAAAGCCCAATTTGGAGACAAAGCCAGATACACAAGGAGAAAAACAAGACTCGCCAGAAAGACAATTCCTCGCAAACCAATTGCTCAAGAAAATGGGGCTAATGATACCCCGTCTTGGGCTGCTTTTCAGAAGAAAGGAGACAATAGAGTGGACGCGCGGCCCGAGCAGGTGACCGGCGGGGAGGGGCGCAGGCTCCCCGGGAGCGCGTGTCACCCGAGTGGTCCTGAGCGCGAGCGCAGGCCCCGCCGGAAGGTGCGCCACGTGTCCCCAAAGTTACAGAAGTGTCCCCGACCAGCGAGGGCGCGGGCAGGGCCGGCTCCCCGCGCAGAATTCCCCAGGTGCGCCCCCAGAGCCTCCGCGCCCGGGGAGGGGCGACACCCGCCAGCGATCGCGGCTGCTGGAGGGCCGGGCGCCCGCGGGTCGGGGCCGGGCGGGCCGGGGCGAGGAGGCGGAGGCCCTGGGCCACGCCCGGGTTTGCAGAACCGCGAGGCCTCGGTCTCCCGGTTGGCGGAACGGGGGTGACCCCGCCGGCCACCCCTCGAGGGCGCCGGGAGCGGCAAGGCGCGCTGTGCCGGCGGGACCGAGCGCGGCTCGCGCGGGGGACGAGGGCTGGAGAGCCAGGGCCGCGGGCGCCGGGGCGGGCGGGGCGAGGCCGGCCGGGGCTGCCTCTCCGAGAGCCCCTTGGGGCTGCCGGCTGGGGGGCGGCGCGGGATCCCTCCCTGCGAGCGCGCGTCCCGGGGGCGGGGCGGGGCCGGCTTTGGGGGCCGCGGGGCGGCACCGCGGGGCCCCACTTGGGGCGGGCAGGGCGCCCCGAGCGCGCCACGCGGCGGGGCGGGGAGGGGGCGCGGGGCGGGGGCCGGGCGCGCGGGGCGGCGCCGAGCCGGCTCCTCCCCCGCCGGCCTCCTCCGCGCCCCGCCGGGCTCCGCAGCCGCCCGGGCTCCGCTCCTTCCTCCGGGCCGCGCGATGTTCAACCGCGCCGTGAGCCGCCTGAGCAGGAAGCGGCCGCCGTCAGGTAAGGCGCGCGCGGGGCCGGCTGGGGGTCCGGGCGCCCCGCAGGCCCGAGGAGCCGCCCGGCGGGCGCTGCCCCCCCCCCATCTCCCTCCCGCCGGCTCGGGCGCGGCCGGGCGCTGCCGCCCCGACGGGGCCCCGCGCCCCTCTCGGCCGCGCGCCCCGCTCCTGCGGTCCCTGCGCGCGGGGGCGCGGAGCCCCGAGGGGCGCCCGGGAGAGGAAGTTTGCCCGAAAGAGGGAACAGCAGCAGTTTTCTTTTGAGTGGTGGTGTGGGCGGAAAAGGAGATCCAAAACGCCTCCGAACTTCGGAGAGAGTAGGGGCCCGAGATTCTGAAAGCAGAAGGTCCCGCGAGCTCCCCCCTTCTGGAAGCTTCTGCCGCCGCCGCGGGCGTGGGTGCCAGGCGCGACCCGGGCGCTCTGCTGGGGAGCCCGGCCGGGGCTGACCGGCACCTTCGGTTCGGCCCCACGGAGCCCAAATGTGGGGCCACGACGAGGGGAGACCCCGGGATGGGCACGGGCGCATCGGTGGCCAGCGCCGGGACGCGCGGACATCACCCCGGCTTGGGCCGGACCGCCACTCTGGACCAGCCCGAGCCACGGTTCGGGACAGCTTGACAGACCCACGGGGAAGATGACACCGTGCCCCTGACCCGGGCACCGCGCCCTTTGTCGGTCACGCCAAGGCCAAGCCCTCGCGCTCTCCATGTGGGGCTGCGCTCGCCCGTCCCGGGAGGCCGCTCCCCTGGGGGACGGACCCGCCAAGGGGCACTTTACAAAGGAGGGAACTGCAGCCAGAGGCACTTAGGTGACTTGCTCAATCAAGTCACACTGAAGTAGGTGATGGAGAATCTTTGCAACCCAGGTTTGCTTGGCTCGGGAGTGCAGGGGCTTCCCGGCCTCCTGCCTCCTCAAGATCCACTTCTGCGTAGCAGGGAGAGTCAGCAAGTAGGGCTCCCTCTCCCCCATCTGCATGTAATGCTGCATTTTATGAGGGCACTGGTGAGGAAAATGCACTGGAACCAGACTGGCTGGTGGGAAGCCCACCGTACTCCCTGTTCTGGGTGGGGTACAGGCTGCAAAGTGGGAGTAACAGTAGCCCCCCCCCCCTTGAGCTCTTCATTGGAGCTGGTTTCCCATCCATAAAATTATGCTAATCGTCACGTTTAATACTCAGGGCAATCCTAATAAAGTAAGGTTTCAGTCCTAGTAAAGTGGATCTTCACAGAGTTATTGTCACGGGCTGATATTAGTGTCATGTGACACTGTGGTCATGTAAACCTCTCAGTGCTTAGCCTGTGAGTCAGAGAATTGCCTTGGGGTGTTAGTTTAGTTGTTCCCTATTGTGGGGGATCCTGGGCTTGTGCAGCAGTGGTCAGAGCCTTGATTCTGGAGTTAAACTGGTTCCCACTCAGACTTTAATATTGCCTTGGGCAAGTTGCTAAATTATCAGGATACTTGGGAGGTGGCCGCTGAACCATAGGTAGGTTGAAATGAGCTACCACTGCACCCCAGAAATCAGCAAGTGTTAAAAATCAAGCTCCACCCTGCCACCCAAGCTGGTTTACCAGCACACCTCTGTGTCCATTTTCCCATCTGTAAATTGGGGTTCAAAGAGTTATGGGACTGAATTCCTGGGAACACAGTGGAGTTCCTAGCGCAGCGCCTGACACATAATAAGCGGGTGATAGTGATGAGCTGTTAGCTTTCCCCTCTTCCTGTAATAGAGTCGCTGCAGAGTTAGTCATCACTTTGGATCATTTTGGGGTTGAAGTCTTCCAAATAGCACCACTGAATGGTGGGACTTCCATGGTCTGGATGTGCTGCTGTTTTTGGGCAGGTGGCATCCCAGAAAGATTGGGGCCATTTAGGGGACACCAGTGGAAAGCACCTCTTTCAAGGCAGCAGATTTTAGCCTCGTGAAAGGGGTCGAGGTTGCTGATAGATGGGGGAGTAGCTGGACAGCATGGGCTGTTTGTGGGTGCCTGGCCTGCAAGAGCCTGATTTCCTTAGGATTTTTAGGTTTAAAGTTTGCCTTCCTGATGGGGGTCAAATGAGCCTCTGCCAGTTCGCTGTCACCACCCAGCAGTGGAGCAGAAGGAGCCAAGTGGGAGGGGGTGTGGACCTGAGGCAGCGCCCCTGGCAAGCTGGCCAGATGATCCTCGGACCCCTGTACTGAATTTGGGTGGGTTTTTTGTTGTAATTTTCAATTATTTTTCTTGAAGAGGATCTCCAAATTGTATAAACTCTAGGCCCCCCAAAGTGGATCCACTGCTACTGGACCCCTGATTTGGACCTGGCTGCAGGCCCCCCTCCTCAGCGCCTTCTACTGTAGACCTTTCTGCATTATGGCACTGTCTCACTGCAGCGTCTTCAAACTGAGGGGTTGGGGTTCCTAACCTCTAACTCTAGGGTTTAAAATGGGATTCCCTTAGTCTCCTTTCTGAGGTGTCTCCAGTGTGTGCAGGAATTGCTGGATGGGGCTGGGCAGGGTCTTCATAAAATGCTGCTGTACAGACCACACCCCAGATCCATTGACTCAGCCTTGGGGACTGAAAGTGGGGACAAAAGGGGCTGCATTTTCAGCAAGCCCACTCGTTGAGTCTTTGTTGTTGTTGTTTTTTTAAAGATTTATTTATTGATGCATACAAGAACTGGGATACAGGCCAGAGGTGTGGTGGTGGTGGTGGTGGTGGTGGTGAGAGGATTCACCAGAGACAAAGTGGGGAACAGAACAGGCAGACTGACTGAAATACACTGCTGAGGGGAGCAGCAGGCAAGACAGGAGAGGTCTGCTGCGCCATGTGGGTACCTCCCTGGCTGGCCGGGGATCGAACTCGTGCTGCAGAGGTTGCAGATTGCTTCATAGAGCTGTGCTCAACCCCTTGTGCCACCAGGGAGGCCCCCACTAGTTGATTCTTATGCTCTGAAGTGTGAGGACCCCTGGAGGCTTCTATCCTCTGCCTCACTCCATCCCCCACCCCCAGTTTGCACTGTTGAGAGTAACTGGGGTGCTGCTCACCTGAAAAGAGAAGCCAAAGCCGCAGCCTTCCACCCCACCATACAGAGGGTGACCTGCTAGGGGAATCCCCATCCTGGCCACAGAACCCCCCCCCCCAGGCCTGTTACCCGTTATCCCATTAAACCTTGGGACCAGTTTCAGATTTATTGCTGGGCTTAGGTTTTTTATTTAAAGCTGACAGTCTGCCTATCCATTGAATGTCATTGTTTTAACCACCCCTTCTCCCCTGGCCTGTGGGTGCAGTGAGGCGGAGCTGGGCCAGAGAGGTCGGGTCTCTGGTGTCGGCCCAGATCTGGGTCGCCCACCCCGAGCAGCCGACAGGCGGTGGGTGTGAGGTGCCGCAGGGGCTTCATTTGCCTTCACCAACTTTCTGTTTGGACTCATCTCTCTTTCCCTTACTGTTAGACATTTTGGGAACTGTGGCAGGTGCCTGATTGGGCCATGTCCTCGGGCTTCCTGGGTGAAGGGAGTCACTTCCCTCCCAGGGGTGAGTAATCCCTTTGGCCCCTGGTGCGGGCCTCAGTGAACTTGCTGTTTAAATTGTACTAAATTTACTCTCACCAGTTTCTTCTGCTTCCCCCTGATAGCTCCCCACTGCAGAAGCCTGGGGGTGGCAGTGAGGGCTGCAGAGTGGGGGGACAGGCAACAGCAGCGGCTCCTGCTTGATAAGAGCTGTCGGGAGGCTTCCCCTCAAGTGAAACAGTCCCCTGCAGGCTTCTGGGGGACACATTTCCCTTCCAAGCAAGTTCCCTTCTCCCAAGGGCCTTGCCGAGTACCTGTCGGTCAGCTTTGCTGTCCCCTTGGTGGGGTGCTCAGGGACCCCTGATCTGGCCTGCCTTTGCTCCCAGTCCTACTCCCCCACTGCTCCACCGATGCAGTCTTGGGGGCCCGAGCTGGGCGGGAGAGGAGGCTGGTATTCCCACCTCTGTGCCTCTTCGCTCCCTCTTTGCAGCCTCTGTCCTCCCCGCCTGTAAGGCCGCCTGTCCATTTCCTCTCTCCCTGGCCGCCGAGGGGCAGCGACTGGCCTGGAGCCCCCCACTTCACGGGAGCAAGGCACAGAACCCAAGTGAGAGCTGCCTGCAGCTGGGGGCTCCGTGCCCCTGCGGCCCTGGCCATCCCGTTCACTTATTTAGAGAATGAATATGGAGCCACTCTGGCTCCCCCCTCCCCACCCGCTGCCCCCCCTTTTCCCTCTCCTCCGCTCTCCAGTCAGGATGTTGAAGAAGCAGCACCACCCCACTCTCCTTATCATTCCTCCAGGGAAAGGCTGTTTTAATTCCCTGAATCGGAAGGAGCTCATCATCTCCAGGGAGGCATTGTCCCAAAACACATCATCTAGGAGGTGCCGTTTTGGGGGAGAGGCCTGGACGTGGGGGTGAGAGGTACACAGAGGTGAGAGGTACACCTTTCCATGGGCTCCCTTTGTAATTCTAGACTTTTCTACCATGTAAAAAATTCAGTTCACCTGCCCAAGAAAGTCCCAGGATTTTTTCTTTCTCGTGTCCTTGCTCCACCAGCACAGCCCACTCCATCAACACTTCCTCATCCTGATCTCGGTTCTCCACGGGCCACAGACGACCGTCTGCCAGCCGGGGGCACGGTGGGCAGAGGGCCATCTGGGAAGTCCTGCTCTCGTCTCCTCAATTAATGTCAAGTTCCGTGAGAAAGCGGCCCTCTTTCTGCTTTTTCAGTCTGTTGCTGCCCGTCCCCCTCCAGGCTTTGCAGCCACCACCTCAGGTGGAATCCCAGCTCCTGGCCTACTCTTTGCTCCCGCCTTCCGAGCAAGTGATTTCACCTCTCAGTGCCTCCGTTTCCTCATCTGTAAAGCGGACCAGTGGGGCTGAGCTCCAGGGTTGTCATGAAGCCGAGATGGGAGGCAGCGCATGCGCCCGCGGTGCCAGCTCTTCTCGTGGCTGTGCCCTCTGTCCCCACCCTGTCCGCATGGCGTCCCTCGGAGACATGGTGGGGGGTCCCCAAGCTGTACAAGTGTCTTGTTTCCCCAGTGCAGTCTGAATTTTATGTTTCAGCTGTACTGGAGAGGATTAAGTGTGCAATGGCGTGGTGTCTAAACATGTGCACACACCTCAGTTAAATGAGATGCAGCAACACGAGGTGAGCATGTGTTGATGGGAAGCAGCTCCAGTAGACTGGCTGGGTGTAGGGTGGCCACAAACCTTCAATTTACAAAAAAAAGTGCAAGGTTTGCACACTGCAATACAGCAAGATGCGTGTGCATGGAGACGGTGGCGGGCCCCGGGAAGACCCAGCTCCTACTCCAGCAGCGCCGTGGGGCTGGCTGAGCCCCGACAGGAGAGTCGCTTGTTTGCCTCGAGAGAGGGGTCAGGGAGTGGGGGCGCGTTGATGTGTGGCTGCCGGTCCCCATGGAAGTGTGGCGACTCCCGGTCTTCATTTTCACCCCCAGGCCAGGGTTCCTGAGTAATCTTCTTTGGGGGGGCGCCTGTGCCGAGAAATTGAGGATTCTAGGGAGGTCACAAGTAACAGCTCGGTGTTCTTATTTCCTTCCTTCTGATAGAAACTGGAAACCAGTGGCCATCTGTTGCTTAGTCCACTCAAAAGAGGATGTTGAGGCTTGTTTTTCCTTCGGACACAAGAGTGCTTGGGAGCCCCGCAGCCCCCAGCCTGTCTTGAGCTGAGTGTCTCTGAGATGGCAGCGAATTCAGGGGCTGCGTGGAACTCCCCAAGTGGATCCCACAGCGCGGAACGTAAGGAGTGGCCCCTGCAGCTTCGGGAGATATCCTCGGCTTCCCCCGGCTCGGGGTGAGGGGATGGGTAGGGGTTGGGGGAGTGTCCTATGCAGACACCCTGGTACAGGGGACCCCAGAAGCCCCTGTGAGTGAGCACCTGGCTTGCTTGGAGGCCTCAGACCTCGTGTGAAAATATAGTGATCAAGTTTCTGAGCCAAGCCAACCCTCTGTGGCTTGTTGGTCTTTGATGTTTGCTATTATTGTGATTACTTATTATGATGATTCTTTTAAAGCATTTTCATTTTTATTGCTGTTTTCTGCTGATTGCAGTTCATGCCAGTCTCTCCACAAGGGGACAGCTTGCCCAGAGGGTGGTGACCTCAGAAAGCCCATGAATTCTTTTTTTTTTTTTTAAGGAGGCATGTATTTTTATTTATTTATGATTTATTTATTTGCTTGTTTGTTTGTTTGTTTATACAAGCACTGGGCACAGTCAGAAGCGCGGGAGGGTGAGAGAATTCACCAGAGCCAGAGCAGGGAGCAGAGCAGGCAGAAGGACCGAAGTACACTGCTGAGGGGAGCAGCGGGCGGCAGGAGAGGTCTGCGCGCCATGCGGGACCCTCCTCCGGTGGCCGGGGAGCAGCTGGGGATCGAACTGGCGCCGTAGAGGCCGCAGGCAGCTTTGCAACCCAGCGCTCAACCGCTGTGCCACCGGGGAGGCCCCCATGAACTCTTAAGTCATGTTTCTCGAGAGGGTTTCCATGATCCCAGTGTCTCCTGAGCCTTGCCTAGATCATCCGTTGTAACAAACTGACTCTGCTGCTAACTTGGGATGACTTTTTAAAAAATGTACTATGCTCGATGTGGCGCAGGTGACAGGAGGTTTTAGATAAATTTTGTGGTGTATGTGTTTTCCTTGAGTATTCTAAAGCAGTCAGCCTGGTGTGTGTGAGTGTGTATGTGAGTGTGTGCGTGAGCATGTGCGTGCGTGTGTGTATGTGTGTGTGAGAAACCACTTTAGAATTTAGGGGTAACATTTCTGCCTTTTCTGGGGCTTGAATGTTTACCTGTTCCCCTCTAAAATGCTATGAATTTGGGGGTACTTAGTGTATAAGTACTTTGAGGGTATAAGTTGGTTCTGGTGTTGAGGAGGCTGGACTCAAAATATTACCAAAATTTATTATTATTTTTTAATTGATTAATTAAAAATATTATTTTTGTGTAGAAGAACTTAGGTGTAGGCCAGAGGTGCAGGAGGTGAGAGGATTCACCAGAGAGAGTGGGGAGCAGAATAGGCAGATCCCCAGAAATCCACTGCTGAGGGGAGCCGCGGGCGAGACAGGGGAGGTCAGCTCTCTGGCTGGGTAGCCAACTCAGGTCTTAGCGGTGATAGTGCTGAGAGCCCCTTGATCACCAGGGAGGTGCCAAAATATATTATTATTATTATTAAGGGGGGTAGGTGGAGAGGGTTGGAGGGGCCTCCCTTCTTCCCCCTAAGCCCCTTGTCCCTGTAGCTATTTGTTAAAAAATACAATAATAGGGCCTCCCCGGTGGCGCAGCGGTTGAGCGCTGGGTTGCGAAGCTGCCCGCGGCCTCTGCAGCGCTGGTTCGATCCCCACCTGCTCCCCGGCCACCGGAGGAGGGTCCCGCATGGCGCGCAGACCTCTCCTGCCGCCCGCTGCTCCCCTCAGCAGTGTACTTCGGTCCTTCTGCCTGCTCTGCTCCCCGCTCTGGCTCTGGTGAATTCTCTCACCCTCCTGCGCTTCTGACTGTACCCAGTGCTTGTATAAATAAATAAATATATCTTAAAAAAAAAAAAACAAAACAGTAATAAATGGATTAAAAAGATTTCCAAAATGAAAAATATATATCATTAAAATTTTTTCCTTATTTAACCCCCCAATTTAATGATTTGCTGATTGTTCATACAACCGTATGCTTTAGGAATTACAATCAAATACTGCGTGACGGGGGAAGTGGCCTCGCTGGAGGCTGCACAGGCCCCAGGGAGGAACAGCAGCCACCAAGCTGTAGGCATTCAGTTCTGATGAGTGTTGCAGATGCCTTTTGAGTATGGATTTCCGAGGAATTGATGTCTGGAGAAGGTCTCTGATAGATATGACATCATAGCCTCTATAAATAATACATTACACTGTGCTGAAGCAACCAGACTCCGCCATCTGCACCGGGAGGCTGCCCCCATCTTTGAAATAATGGCTTTTCCTGAAGTCAGAGCGGCCTGAATGAAAGTGTGAGGTGTGTGTGCGTTCCTTGCAGCCTGGCTGACCCTGGCCGGCATGCGAGGCTTTGGTCTGCCTGGAATTGGACTCCTACCTTGTGTTCTCAGTCTTTTCCCTTGGCGAGATGGTTGTCGTTCTCAAGGCCTTGCGTTGTGGCCTTTGTAAGTATGAAGATGGGCAGCTATCAAAAATAAAGGTGGTTGTGCTGCCTCATAGTCAAGACCCTGAGCTCTGGAGCGGGGCTGCCAGGACATGGGTCCCTGTTTGCTCCCTGACAGGGTCCCTGTAGGTTACTGTGCCTCAGTTTCCTCATCTGTGAAGGGGGCATGATATTACCCACACCAGAGACTTTTGTGAGAACTAAATGATTTAACTCAAGTAAAAGCTAGAATAGAACCCAGCACGCTGGAAACGCCAAGGATTAACTGATACTTTAGCTAATGACAGATCTATTGAAGATAAGTTTACTGAAAAATAAGTATTATGCCCGAAAAAATATGAAGATCTAAAGTTCTTTAAAGAGACCAGGAGGTCAAACATTTTTTTTTTTTATGGCAAAAATGTTTTACAGTTGAACTGAACACCAGCAAAGAAGTGAACAGAGCTGGACAGGATGGAAACAAACAAATATCATCCCCAACACTCCCTTGCTCACTTGAGCGATCTTGAAGCTCCTAGAAAAATATGTTTAAACTTTTTTAAAAAAACTGTGCATTGTGGACTTACTTTTTTTCTCATGCAATCCATCGAAAATGGACACATCAGTGAAAAAGGATATAAAAGCATTGGATTGTTTTGCTCCAAGTACTTATGTTCAGAAGTAAACCTGCTTGCTATGGAGAAAGGCTATTCCTTTCTCCAATACATTATTGGATTGATTGTGACATTTAAAGTCAGCTGAGATGATTTGGGAAGCCCTTACTTAGATGCATCAGAAAATAGTGGATGTTTCCTGAGTGATGAAAATGCCTCCAGTTCCAGGGTAATCTCTAGGCCAAAGCCAAATGGAGTGGACCTCTGCTCTGTCTCATTGCAAGCTTGGGATAATGACCTGGAAAAGAGAGATACCATTAAGAAGGGAGTTTGTAAACGCTGCTCCTGCCGGATCTGTCTGTCTATATTGATGCCAATTATGAAGGATTAAGAAAAAAATGCATGCATGGCCAAAAGTCTTCATCAAAATGGAGAGACAATTAGGAGGTCTTGGGCAAACCCATTCACTGAGAAAAGTGAAAGACCTGCTAGAGCTTGGGGAGAGGATTTTTAAGTTGGGACTGTTGGGGCAGAAGGTGGGCCAAAAGGCAGGAAGGAATTTCTGTGTATCCAGGGCACCAAATCCAGAAAACCATTTAACTGTGACTTTGGAGAGGAGCTGGGTCTTGCTGTGCTTTTTGAGCCAGCCCTGGAAATTCAGTGCCCTTCTGGAAAGGCATTTCATTATCTCGTCAGCCAAAAAGGTATTTCATTACTTTTTCTGGAAAGGAAGTAGTAGCCGAGGAAAGAAGGACCCATTAGATTTCAGGGTTTCCAAGGCACCCTGGGGTTCGTGGGGGTGTCCTGATAGAGCCAGTCGCCCTCGCTGTAGGTTGAAACACTCTATCCATCCAGTAGTCCCTTAGCTGGCTAGATCACCTTGGATTTTTACTTTCCAGTCTATAAAATAAGGGGGGCCTCCCTGGTACACAAGGGGTTAAGACACAACCTATGAAGCTGTCCACAGTCTCTGCAGCACAAGTTCGATCCCCAGCCGCCCAGGGAGCTACCCACACGGCGCAGCAGACCTCTCCTGACATGCCCGCTGCTCCCCTCAGCAGTGTATTTCAGTCAATCTGCCTGTTCTGTTTCCTACTCTGTCTCTGGTGAATCCTGTCACCCCCCCCCCCACACACACACCTCTGGCCTGTACCCCAGCTCTTGTATGAATAAATAAATAAATCTTTTTTTAAAAATCTGCAAACTGATTAGAGGAGTATAGTTCTAGGAGGGAGGTAGCCATGGTCTAAGGTGGGCCCAGCTAGCTTATCTCTCAGTTTACTAGAAGCTCTGCATAGCCAGTGCACTCTTTGGGCTAAATGGGAATCCACCCCGTATATTGATTTGCAAGACAGTGTGGCGGTGAAACCCCAAATGTGGTTTGGCTTATTACTGAGAAGAATGTCAAGAGTTTTGGAATCCTTTCAGACCAAGGTTGAAAACTTATGGCCGCATCCCTCTTCTGTGGCAGGAGAAATTTGCAGCTGCCTAAGACTGTTCCTGGAACAGTGAACTTGGGTCTCTTTATTTATTTACTTAAGTGAAGTTCTGCCGGGGAAATGGAGTCGACTGTCAAACTATATTCGCTGGGTAAAGAACAGAAGAGTAAATTAGTGAAATGCTTGACAGAATGAGCCCTGTTGCCGAAATTTCTTATAATAATGATCTTTTAATTTGATTTATACTTGGTTGGGAAGAAACCCAGTGTTCAGAAGCTTGCCATTCCAGCATTTGCAAAGAGGGCAGAGGATTAATTTAATATCCATGAACTAAAGATGCACTTTAGAGACGCATCAGGTCCATTTGTGATGTGTTCGAGCGAGTTTGCATCTCGATTAAAGGAATGGACTTGGCGCAGATACTTCCTTATGTGCTCAAGGACCAGTGCCCAGAGAAACGGGCCTCCTCTGGGTTTCTGCTTTCTTAGCCCACGTCAGCCAGTAAATATCTGAAATCCAGGTAGTTTTCCCAGATGCTGGAGATGGAGTCTCAGCTGCCTCAGAAATGGGCATGACCCCTGGGAGACCATGAGAGGTTCTAGCCGCTGAGTTACTCTCAAGTCCATTGCATTCTGACATAACTTTCCTCCAAAAAAAGCTTTTTTGCAGCAATTAATATTTGTAAGACATTTTTATTTATTCTTTTAAGGTGACTTGCTTTTAAGGTGACTTTCTTAATGAAGTTTATTTCTCTCCTAGCATAAAACTTTTCTTCAAAGCACACTTTTCTTCATAGCATTGGCTGTAAAAATAGTTTACTTCATAGATCATTATTTTAAGGAAGGGGAGAGAGGAACTATGATTTGTTGAGAATCCACTGAGCTTCCTCTTTTTAGTCTTCCCAGAACCCTAAAATAGGGGGCTTATCTTTATTTTATACCCAAGAATTTTGCCCATGGTCGCTCAGTTGGCCATGCTGGGTTTTGTATCGGGGCCCTTCCAAAGTGACACCCCTGGTTTTCCCTAGACCCCAGGAAGGGGAAGAATTCTGCAGAGTGAAGCTTGCTCATTGTCACTTCCTCTTTCAGCAAGTAGCCAGAGTGTGTTGTGGGTGTCCCCTGTGCCCCTTCCTCTCCTGGAGAGGCTCCTCAGGCCGACAGCCTTAGTGTTTTGAGTAAGAGAGTGCAGCTGATGTCCAGAGAGAGTCATTCACTTATTCAGTCTACACACGGAAACAGTGCCGCCATGTTGGAAGCTGGATAGGAGGGAAATCTATTAACCACCCTGTCTTTATTTAAGGTGAAATATTTTCTCATTATGGAATATATTGGCAATGATTTTGACTTTTCAAAATATTATATGAACATGTTATTTCTCTTGATGCCCAAGTTTTGGGGATGCTCCTGCAATTTTGGGCCTGGGGTAGGGGGCCTCACTTTCCTCACCCAGGTGCCCGTTTCTTGGTGCGTCAGGCAATGCACTGCTTGCTGGAGAGACAAGATAAAGGCGTAGGGAGTTCTCAGGCTAGTGAGTCAGTCATAGCTCCTTCGAGCGAAGTAATGCTGACACGGTGCACTGAGTGATGGGGAGGGGTCGTTGTTAAGTCACGGTCCCGGCCAGTGGGCTGAGACTTGAGCGTTGGCCAGTGGACACGTGGGTGGGAGGGCTGTGGGGGTGTTGGGAGATGACAAGAAAACTGAGCCTCAAGTATTTTCACCTGTGACATGGAGGAGGAAATGGTGGCGCCTGTCTTGTCAGGTGGGCAGGACCAGGGCAAGTTCTCTGTGTCAAGTGCCAAGACGCGACCCTGGCACGTAACCTCAATACATTAACCCCACGGTGATGGCACTGGGGAGGGGCAGTGACGGTGACCCTCACATGTGGGTGTTTCTAAGTGATGGTCTCAACCTGGCTCTGCAGATATCCATGACAGCGATGGGAGCTCCAGCAGCAGCCACCAGAACCCCAAGAGCACAGCCAAGTGGGCGGCCTCGCTGGAGAATCTGCTTGAAGACCCGGAAGGCGTGAAAAGATTCAGGGTTTGCCTTTTTCCTTGTTGTTTGGGATTGATGCAACATGCAAAGAAGTTTAGAAGTGTGTGTGTGTGTGTGTGTGTGTGTGTGTGTGTATAGAGGTGGGTGGGTGGGGGGAGCAGACCCATCTTAATCACTACCCAAGTGTGAGAGTGAGACCCTCTTCCCTGGGATGGAAACGCTTTCCGGGCACAGGATTGGCTTTGAGGGGCACGCACAGACATTCTGGGTTTAATAGCGTCGGAGCAGAGGAGGTGAGGGCGCTGGGAAGAGGTGTCTGCTCTTTGGCAGGATCTCAGAAGAGCCCCTGGCTCTGCACACCTGTGAGGGGGTGGTCTGGGTCTGCCCCGCCACAGAGCAAGAGGCTGGACCACAGTTTGCCAAGAGAACTTGGCAAAGTGGAGGGAAGTGGAGGGCTGATGGCTGGGGAAGTGTCGAGCTGCCCAGAAATAACCTTTGGGCCAGCAGAAACCCCTGTGTCTGTTAGCAGGACCACCTGTGAATTGCACGAATGCCCCATGTCTGCCTGGGCCCCAGATCTTGCATCTGGGCCAGTCTGGGGTGAGCCCTGATGCTGCTGGTCACTGTTTCCATCCCCGGAGGGGGTGGCAGACAGGGCTACCAACATCCCTGGCCTCCGGGCCACTGGGACTGCTGTCTAGATTTGTAGGGAGGACACTCGTCTGCACACAGCAGAACAGCTAGCTGTCCCCATGACCCCTCAACATCCGCAGAAAGAAAACACACCTCCAACTTAAAGTCGTTTTCATCACAGCATTTTTAGACATGTGTAATATGTTTTCTTTTTTTTTTGTTTAAAGAAAAATGGATCTGATTTTAGAGGAATGTACTTTGTTTAAACACTGTCTGGAAGGAACTAATAAATCATCCACTTTAATTTACTTTTTGGTAATTTATTGTCAGCTTAGATTTGTGAGTAGATTCTTGCTTTGTTTTTACTTTTTCTTACAATGTCAAAGCCATTGCGTTCAGATGCATGTGAAGTCCTAGCATTCACCTTGAGCCTCTCCCTGTCGTTCAGGGCTGGGTCTCTGTTGATGGCAACTTGCTTCTTTGGTAAATTTTGCCAAAACTGTCCTTGAAGGGAAATGTGTGATTTGTTTTATGTTTCTGAGGGCGAATACTGACCTTTTCCCTTTTCTTTATCCATAGGAATTTTTAAAAAAGGAATTCAGTGAAGAAAATGTTTTATTTTGGCTAGCATGTGAAGATTTTAAGAAAACGCAGGATAAGAAGCAGGTATTCCACTCTGCAATTGCTTTCTTGATAATTGTTGACTTTCCAATAGACTTTGAAATTGCTTAAGATCAGATCCACAGTAGACCTGGGGGAGAGACTTGAACTTCCTTTAGATATCTTGTATTGATCAAACAGTGCTAATTTTGTAGTGTTTTAATCCATTTTTAAATGGAGTTGTTTAAATGGACAGATATTTAAAAAAAAATAATGGTGCATGTCATTTAAAATTCCTCATTACATGTGATTTTTTTCCTCATGAATAAGTTACGAGGGTGCTTCTCCCAGAGTTCGACTGCTGACATTATGTCTGGGTGGAGTAAAGTGACAAGCAGTTTGCGTGGGGATAAAAGCACAACATGCATCAGATGGTTTGTCAGTTATTCAGTGTATCTTTACAAGTCCCAACGTTGGCAGCACCCCACACAGGAATCTGATTGTTCCCTGGTAGTTGTGTACCCTTTGCAAGAGGTATCCTTTAATTCCCCATGACAGCTGGATTTTCTGCCACTGAAGATTGGGTATAAAAGGAGGTGGATGAGAATATGAGGAAGGAGGCCTGTGGATTGGGGGTGCTAATAAGGTCCATGCCTGGGTTATTTCCAAGAGGTTATGAGCTAAGTGCTTAGTAAGTAGTGTTCACGAGTGAGACTTTGGGGTGAGGCTATAAGGAGTGGTGGGGGCTGTGGCTTGCCCTGCCGCCTCGAGATGTAGGGAGTTATTTAGCTGACTTTGGCTGTGAATGTTTTGGAGTGAGCTGCTGCCTGGGCTTTCCCTGCTCTCGGTTCTGCCTCCAACAGCTCACTGATGGGCGTCTTCTTGGTGTTTGCTTGCCTAGCCTGGCCCCTAGAGTCCCCAGGGACCTTTCATCCAAAGACATCATCTCCCATCTTTAGCCCAATACCACCTTCTATTCCAGAGACTCTGACATTGGGGTTTTTATGTAAAACCATCTGATTTTATAAGTGTTGAAGCTGATTTTTAAAAATGTAAAACCTTGCTTGCCAAGCAAAACATATCCATGGGCAGATGTGGCGTGTGGGCTGCCAGTTTTTGAGTGTCTCTGGAGCTGGAATCCACAGCGTCGGCAGCCGATATGTTTGCTGACAACAGCTTGGAAAACGTACATCTTTGGTTTATTCATTGGCTCTTGTGCACTGAGACATGCTTCCCCCAAGATGAAGCAGCATGGCCTTCCTCTCTGTAGGGACAGGGGTGGGTTCTAAGATTGGCTCCCTTTTGCTTAAAGACCCCAGGTTGGCTTAGATAGCCACCCTGGCCATGACCCTTGGCTTAGACAGCCATCCTGGCCATGACCTTTGGCATTTACTTCCTTCCAGCTTCTCCTCCCTGGGTGATTTTGCCCAAGCCTCCCGGGTGGTGAACGGAGTCCAGTGAGAAGTGAGCGAGCAGGTGACTGGGCCTGCTTTAGAAAGCTACAATATGGGCTCACTGTTCTACTCTGTCCAGCACCCAGAACAGGCCTCCTGAGAGCCATCCCTGAGTGCTGTTCAGCCCATTCATCTAGCCTCACAGCCAGGTCCTCGCTCAGGGTCCAGTAGACGAACAGATGTCCAGTCCTCTCTCTTTGCGTGTAGGGGTCAAAGGGCCAGACGAGGACCAGCCCACCCCTGCGAAGGCAGGAGGTTGAGTCCACCTCCCCACTCCCTGTTGCTGAGCTGAGACTTGAACCAGCTTTCTGCTGCCTCCTGGTCCTGCTCCCCCACACAGCACTGGTGTGTCTTACAGTTCAGTTTGTGCAGGGCCTGCCTGCTCAGGGCCAGGCCTCCTGGGCGAGACAGACAAGACAGATGCACTTCCTTTAGGACTGCATCAGAGGGGAAGCCAGCTGTTACACAGGACTTTGCAAGTGTGCCTGCCACAGAAATGGGAAGTGTGGCCGTGGGAGCTCAGGCTGTTGGGAAGACCCCAGGGGAAGTGGCCTTTAAGCTGTCACCTGAAGTGGAGGTGGGGGTGCGAAGGCGTTTCTAGAAGGGGAACCACAGGTGGGGAGAAAGGCCAGAGTGAATTGCTGAAGGAAGACCCGATGGTGGAGGCTCATCGTGCTTGACGGCAGGCCGGCTCTGATGCGCACAAGCTGGGAGGCAGGTGGGGTGAAACCTGGAGAACCTGGGTACCGGGGTGAACCCTGGAAAGCCTTGGTGTGGATGGCACTGCTACATTCACAGAGAGGATCTGGAATCCCGCAGGCCCCTCTGTGGCCTGACCCCTAGTACCCAGCAACTGACTCCTTGAAGGTGTGTGTCCTTTGGCCTGAAGGCACCTGGTGGTGCCGTGAGTTGGATGCAGCCAGGACTGGGAAGGGGGCCCCTGTGGTGAGACCCTCAATGCCCACAGTCAGGGTTATCACACAGTCTCATGACTGTTCCTATCCTTCCAGACCAGACACAGGGGCTGTGGTTTGAGAGGAAGCAGCAGTCCGCCCACGGCTGCCGGGCTGGGTGCAGACAGCCAGGATTCAGACCCAGGCCTTCGCTCTAGCTGATCTGGCTGCAGGGGAAGTAAAACCAGGGAGTCACTAATTCACAAAAGCCCTGAGGGCGTCATCCTGGGGCTAAGTCGGCCAGAGTAGAGCTGTTCGCAGCACATCTGGCCCTGGAGGGGGTTTGCGCAGGCTTATCTCTATGGCGAACTAAGGCAGCTGTGGGATCCTTGACACCCCACTTTTTTTTTTTAAAGATTTTATTTATTTATTTATTTGTTTGTTTATAAAAGCACTGGGTACAGTCAGAAGCGCGGGAGGGTGAGAGAATTCACCAGAGCCAGAGCGGGGAGCAGAGCAGGCAGAAGGACCGAAGTACACTGCTGAGGGAGCAGCGGGCGGCAGGAGAGGTCTGCGCGCCATGCGGGACCCTCCTCCGGTGGCCGGGGAGCAGCCGGGGATTGAACCGGTGCTGCAGAGGCTGCGGGCAGCTTCGCAACCCAGCACCCAACCGCTGCGCCACTGGGGAGGCCCGACACCCCACTTTTGCTTCCAGTCTTTGGACTCCCACCCGTGCTGGCTTAGCTTCTCTCTCTTTTACTCCGACTCGCTGCCGGTTCTGTCCGCAGCACTCCCCGCGTCTCCGGTCTCTCGCAGTCTCTTCCTCTTCGGTGCTGTCATCCTCTCTGCCGTGCAGGCTCTGCGGGGTTTGAGGGCGTTGTCTGTCAGCCCCCCTGCACCCAAGTGCCTGGCACACAGTACTGGCAGCTCTCTCCAGCCAGGTCAGCACCCCCGGGGTCCTCCGTGGCCGGGCCCTGGCCTCCCCTCACCTGTGCTGCTGCCGAGACTTGAGAGCGGCCTCCGGGTCCTTCCTTGGGCCTCGTGTCCGCAGGAGCTGTAAGAGCGGACGTCCTCGCTGTCGCCCCTGGACTGTGCTTCACTGCCTGGAAGCCTCTTTGGTAGTGTCTGGACCCTGCATTTAAGGTGGGGGTGGTGCTGGGGCGTTAGGAAGTTGATGCCTCCCGCCCTCCCAGGTTGGGATTCCAGGGGTGGTTATACTTTCCAGGTGTTCATATCAGCAGTCAGCTTCAAAGACATTCTCCGCCTTTGCAATTTCTTTATGGCTTAAAATTTCTCTATGACATTGCCGCTGAGTTAGCATGTGGAACTTTCCTTCTCAAGCAGGGCAACATTTGTCTTATAAAACTTTAGAAAAAGCTCCAACAAAGTGCTCATCCTTTGGCTGAATTCATCCATCCACCCACCTACCTACTCATCAAAATATCCACTTACCCATCCATCCATCCATCCAGGGCCTGTTTGCTACGAGGCAAAGATTGAAATGGATCGGACAGCTTGTGCAGATGTATAAAAACCAAACCAGTAGTGGGGGCAGGGGAATGTGGGGTAATACAAGGTTCCTAATAATCATAATGCAGAGACAAACTTGAACCAGTATTTAAGTATGAAAGTACCTTACATTTTATAGCATTTAAGAACTAATAGAGTTACAGGGGGGGCAGGCAGGGGCCTATGGCATTTATTATTTTAAAATAATTTTTTAACACTGACATTTAATTCAAGATTAGGTCTGTGTGTGTGTGTGTGTGTTTAGAATGTTCGATATTCTTTTACTATTTTTTAATTTTTTTTTAAGTGAAGAAACACTGCTTTATAACGTTATGTAGGTTTTAGGCTCTGGACTTACATGTCAGCATCTGTTTATACTCCACTCTGCTCATCACCAAGACAGCCTTTGACATCCTAATTGAAAGACTTTCCTAAGAGGCTGAAACACCATCTTCTTTATTTAAAAAGGCGTTTAAATGTTTCCAAGCGACACATCCTCTTGTGATATTCACTCATAAGTGGGTGGAGTAAGAAAGGCCCATTCCCTCCAGCCTTCTGGTTCGGGCTGTGCGTCTCTGAACTTTGTCTTTGAATTTGCACTCGCCGGGGTCCAGGCCCGACAGGATTGGGGCTTAGCTGCTCACGTGCAGTCTGGGCCCGCCTGCACCTCTGTTCCTTCCCACCTCACCTCATCTCTTCTAGATGTTATCTACCCATTTCCTCTTACTACAACCGAGGTTTCACTTACTTACATCCCAGTCTACTGCGATTTCATTGTTAAAACTTGAGTGCTTACGGCTCACTGGCAAGCGACAGAGGATGCTGCAGTTACATTTTGTTCCTTGAACTGTGATCTGCTTTTCTTATTTCACACTGGCCGCAGCCCTTTGAAATGCTTCTCCAAGCACACGGTGCGTGGTCTCAGGCCTCCCAAGTCCACAGTCCTGGTTTCCTCGGGCACTGCCCTCTGACCACAGCGCCCACTCGGGCCTCCCAGGTCACCCTTGGCCACCAACACTGGGTCATTCCCTTTGCCCCCTCCTTCTTCCTGCATCCAGTGTCTCCTCCATCCTGAGTCCCCCTCTTACCGTGATGGAGCCCCCAGTAACTTCTGGAGAGAGGAGACACAGCAGGTAGGTGGTTAAAGATCTTGTTCAGTGGAAAACTCTTTCTCTTCCACCTCCCACCTCCCTAGCAGTCTGACGCGGCG